GCTCCTGGTTTGATTTTTAATATCCAAAAAGTAAAGAGAGAAATTATTCAATCAATAGTTTTTAAGATATTATAATTCACCCATGAGCCTTTGCGAGATTATAACACCTCCAAATTGTCACTATACCCATGCACTGTCAAAATATATTAGATTTGACTTAATTTTCATGTAAATTAACCTAAACCTTAATATAGCGCAACCCTTTACCGATAATTTTATTGGTTCTCCAGGTATAATTAACTTTGATATATGAACCCTTAAACACATTATACAGTCATACTTTAGGATTAATGAGCTAATAATCAATTATACATATATTAATAAATTTCGTACTTTCTTATTATTATTATTCATAATTATAATAAAACTCTCTTTTCTAAGAATATCATATCGTTTCGCCCTTTAATTTTCATTATTTGATCAGTAAGGGCTGTAAGGGACAGACTACAAATTTTTGAAGTTTCATAAAGAAACCAAAACTCAAAATTTCTGATCCCTACATCTTTGCAACCTAATGATGTACATCGTTGATATTTCAAATTTAGATTATTTGATGACAAAATTCATATCGTTTGAAATATCAAAGTGGATTCAAAGATATAGAGATAAGAAAACCAGAGTTTGTGGCAAAAAACTAAAACTTTTGTGAATGTAGGTTTTCTATATATTTGTGAATTGACTCTTTAATCAGATTTAAAGTAGAAGGAGAACTCTTTAAAACCGGAAACATGGGATATATAAAACTCAATTTAAATATTAATCTGCGCATATACATCTTCTTAATGTTTTTAGAGAGTAGAGAAGTTTCAACTTTTATCTTCTTTTTGTGTCTTTCTAACTTCAGAACTTCAATTTGTAAGTCATAAAAGTTTTAGCCTTAGGAGGCCAGGCAGGCAGAGATAGGAAGACAGGCAGTTATAGGAAGGCATATAGACTGTAGAGATAGGAGGGCAGGCAGATATAGGAAGGTATGCATATATTGGAAGGCGGCAGAGAAAGGAAGGCAGATAGACTGTAGAGATAGGAAGGCAGGAAGATATAGGAAGGTAAACATATATAGGAAGGCAGGCAGAAAAAGGAAGGTATATATACTGTAGAGATAGGAAGTTAGGCAGTTATAGGAAGGCAGGCAGAGATAGGAAGACAGGCAGAGATCGAGATGAGGGAGAGATTGGAAGGTAGGCAAAGATAGGAAGGCAGGCAGAGATAGGGATGCAGGAAAAAATAGGAAGGCAGGTAGATATGGAATGCAGGGAGAGAAAGGTAGGTAGAGATAGGAAGGCAGGCAGAGATAGGAAGTATGGGAAGGCAGACGAAGATATAAAGGCAGATAGGAAGGCATGAGGCCAGAAATGCGTTAAAAGACAAATTTTAAAAATCATCACAACTTTGTCACCAAAAAATAAAACCTAATTTTTCCGAATATTTTGGCATTTAAAGACATTTAAGGCATTTAACGTAAACTATAAAACTGTTTTTGGTTTGATTATCCGCTGAAGATAAGAGATTTACAGCCTTGGTTCAAGCCAAATCCAGAGGGACATATTTACCCCCAATCCGAACACTGCAGGGTGTCACAAAATAACCCAAAAAAGTTGTTCTTATCGTAAACGTTTGGGTGTTCTATCAACTAGATTTTATATTAAAGAAAATATTTTTTTTTGGACAGCCTTTTACTCGGATTTTTACAGCCTGGCAATTAAACTTATCTAGAAATTGATCAGCAATGCCCTGTAATAAAATACGTCTTTTAAACGAATCAAAACGATAAAATACGTCTTTTAAACGAATGAAAGCTTTATCTATCAAAATTGAACGTTGTCATTTAATTTTATTTAAAAACAACGAAGACCAAAAGTGTGTTAACACAATGTTATTATAAGAATAATTATGATTATAATTCTAGGATTTTTACAATAAAATTTTAATTATCAACAGTTTTTCCCAGTTTTGTAATTTAATTAAAATGTCAAATCTATTAATTATTATTGTGAGTTAAATTTAATTACTTCTTCATAGAAAACTAGGAAATTGAGATTTTAAAAAAAATAACAAATTTTAAACTTTCAGTTTGAAAAGAAAAATATCGCCCCCCCCCCATTCTAAATTACCACATTGCGCTTACGAGGACGAAATTACTAGTTAGTCTCCGGGTCTAAGTATATACTTGAAACCCAAATATATCTCTGCAACCCTGAAACCCATGTCTCCGAACCCAAGGTAAGACTGGGGAAGCATTGTATCCAGTACCGGAGTAGTTTCGATTATTCTTAGCTGTCAAAAGCCTGTAATTTAGTTCAATTATTTATACAATTCAAACATTAAAAGCACCAATCCCCCTTCCAACGACAACAGTAAATTAACAACGTATATACGTGACTGAAACTCTGAATAACGGGAAAGGTTCGAAAGTAAATATCACCCCATGACAAAAATTAAAATGTTCAAGCTTTAATTTTAATTCTCATTAATATTCTATAATAAAAGACATCAAAAAGGTTTCTTGGAGATATTAATTTTCAAAGATGATTTTTAATATTTCTAATCTAAAAGGTTGCCTTTGGAAACTTGAGGAGGAAGGGAAGGGGGAGGGGTGCTGACGGGGTGAGTGAAAGGGGATGGGGGTGCTGACAGGGGAAGGGATGACTTTTAAACTTTAATCTCCCCACGTGCTAATGATCTTTTTATCAGCCTCAAAGGTGTCAGGCTCGGACAGGTTACATGCACTTCTTTAAGATGTCTTACTATTATACAGTCATACTTTAGGATTAATGAGCTAATAGATATTGGCTTGTGTTAACAATTCTTAGTCATTTCAAGCATTTTGAATTTGACTTCGATACGCCAATTTCTCCGAGTCAAATTTAAGTTAAAGCTAGACAAATTGATGCATTTCTTCATGCAGATTCAAAAATATCAAAAAGTATTTCTTCCCAAAAACAAATTTAGAAAATAACTAAATTTTGTTGAAATATCACTAATTTTAAGATTTTATTTAAGAAATATTAAATCTAGTAAAAATCAGGTTTAATTAGGAAATCCTAACTTAAAAATTATGAATAAAGTAAAGTTAGGAAAACTGAACTAAAATTTAGTAAACAACTAAAATGAATTAGAAAATTTATCCAGGAAAAACCAAGGTTTTAATGCAAGGAAAGTTATTTCAGAGGTGTTCACATCTTTTGTACTGCAGTGTACTGTCAGTAATTTAAACACACATAAAAAATCAATGAAATATTCTGGTCATAGGAAACTATTATGTGTATTATCAAAATTATCAAAATTTAATGTTTTAAATCTCCTCGGATACTAAACGAACACTGATGCATCTATTCTTGTTTACAAATTCAGCCCAGAGCTGGTTTCAAAATGTACACAGAATATACGCAACTGCAATTAACTTTCCTTGGATTATAACCTTGGGAAAACTATGTTTAATTAGGAAAACTTAGTGGAAATTTAAACTAAAATAAAGTTTAACATTGTAAATACTGATTTAAAAACTGCACCAAGCTAAATATTAAGTCAGGAAACTAAACTTATCTTTGGAATTTAATCTGTACTGCCTAAATTCTAGGCTCCGGTATCGACTTTAAGAATAATAAACAGAAATTCTATCATCACCACCATCATTAATGGGTTAAATAAAAACTACTTCGAAGAAGGTGTAAACAGTGTAGGCTAATTAGTTACAGCTAGAAATTCGCAACGCTTAACACCTTATCTACAAAGCTTTAGCAAAGACAAGCAACAAAAAGCCAAAAATATGAAACATTTCTTCGCAACGATAAATTTCAATCATTAATAATTTGACAATTATTAATGGAACTTGATGACATTTCGGATCTTAGATGTTCATTAATTATCCATGCATGAATATATATATTCATAAACAAGGAAGGGGAAATATGACAAAATAGATCTTTTTTTCAACGTTTAAAGGGAACCAATTGATGTTTGCACGTTCATCCCCCTTTCATACTTCATATTTTTATTCAACTACAAAGCACGAGATAATACAAATAAAAAAATCACAATTTACTATGTAGTTTGGACCCGCCTAACCAGAGTTGGTTGTTTTTGTTGGTTGGCCCATTATTAGCGAATAAGAATTGTAAATAAATAGATGGATGAATAAAGTAAGGAGGGGGTGAAAAAGTATAAGTGAAAGGGTGGATACTCAGCAGAATGGTTGTAACAGAGGGTAACATATATGATTATAATCATGTTTATGAATTACAGGGTGAAGAAGATAGCAAAGACTAAGTTTATCCTCATGAAAAACAGTTATTTTTTTACAGATATAGCTTGCATAACTGTCTAAATAGTTTTTGAAGATTTTTCTTTTAAACAGTTTTGCAGATTTTGTTTCTTTCAGCTCTAATTCAATCGAATTCCATAATTTGGGAAATAAAGCAGAAGGAATATATTCTTGCGTTTAAAAAGAACCCGCTCAAGTTTACAAGATTTTGTTCTATTTGGTTCAGCTAAAGAATTAAACATATTATGGAAGGAAGATGGAATCTGGGGGGAGGGATAATAGGTATTCATTGATAAGAATTTTTAAAAATCCCTCATTATCAATTAACAAAATCTAGTTTTGTATAAAATCGGTGAAATAATTATGTTTTTTATTCATATATCGTGTAGCGTATATTATTTTATTATCCGTTTGCACTAGACAATTTTTTTGGTTTTCTTTTTAGATTTTTTTTAATTTGAATTTTCTTAAAGAAATACAACTATTTGTAAATAATTTAAACATTTTTAATGAACATTACTATAAAATTACATTGGATGAATAAAATAGAATTTGTTTAATGTTTCTAAAAGCTCGATTTGTTCGTTGTCATTAAGGAATCAATCGACTTCAGTTTTATTCCTCTATTTTATATTGTTAAACATTGTAAACCACTTTGCAAATTAAATTCAGAAAAGACAATTCCTAGAAATAAATTGCGAATTTTAGTAATGTTAGAAATGTGATTGATTGATATTACCTTCCATTCCATGTGCTCCGGGTAGGTCGGAGGGTCTAGAACCCAGTGTGTTTGGAAGTACCAGGAGAAGAGCAGAGATAGTTTGAATCCAACCCATCTTTTCAGATTACTTATGAACTATTTATCACCATTATACTAATTTTTGGTTTTTTAGCGATTTGTTCGCAATATTTGGGATAGATTTTTTAACGATTTCACTTCTTAGATCACATAGTGTACAAGCCAGGTATAGTTTTATGTACCAAATTATACACTGTACACAGAAGGATCGAGCTTGAGGTATGCTCTCTACAGCGGTGTCTCGGTAACTAAAGTTCCGCCACATTTACCGGAGCCGTGCTGGGACAATTACACTTGATGAGGGGGGATAAACCGCCCGGTGTCGGGTAGGCAGGGTTGCAGGCGGGTTGGGTTCAGAGGGTTTTGGGGAGAAGGAGAGAGGGGTGGAGGGAAGATACAGGTTTATTTACACTTAGTGACCAATCTGTGATTCAACCAAAGGATAACTTTGTAGTATTCGGAAACCAGGATTGCAAACTAGCAGATTGGAACCAGTTTTCGGAAACCAGTATTGTAAACTAGCAGATATTGGAACCAATATTCGGAATTACCAAGATTGTAAACTAACAGATAGGATCCAGTATTCGGAAACCAGGATTGTAAACTAGCGGATAGAGGAAGGAACCAGTATTCGGAAACCAAAGTTGTAAACTAGCAGATTGGAACCAGTATTTGGAACCAGTGTTTTGAACTAGCAGATAGGAACCAGTATTCGGAAACCAGTGTTGTAAACTAGCAGATAGGAACCACAACCAGTATTCGGAAACCAGTGTTGTAAACTTGTAAACTAGGAGATATGGAACCAGTATTCGGAAACATTGTAAACTAGCAGATTGGAACCAGTATTGGGAAAACAGTATTGTAAACTAACAGATAGAAACCAGTATTCGGAAACCAGTGTTGTAAACTAGCAGATTGGAACCAGTATTCGGAAACCAGTGTTGTAAACTAGCAGATATGGAACCCGTATTCGGAAACCAGTGTTGTAAACTAGCAGAAAGGAACCAGTATTCGGAAACCAGTGTTGTAAACTATCAGATAGGAACCAGTATTGGGAAAACAGTATTGCAAACTAACAGATAGGAACCAGTAATCGGAAACCAGTGTTGTTAACTAGCAGATTGGAACCAGTATTCGGAAACCAGTGTTGTAAACTAGCAGATAGGAACCAGTATTCGGAAACCAGTGTTGTAAACTGACAGATAGGAACTAGTATTCGGAAACCAGGATTGTAAATTAGCAGATAGGAACCAGTATTCGGAAACCAGGATTGTAAACTAGCAGATAGAGGAACCAGTATTCGGAAACCAGCGTTGTAAACTAGCAGATAGGAACCAGTATTCGGAAACCAGGATTGTAAACTAGTAGATAGAGGAACCAGTATTCGGAAACCAGTGTTGTAAACTAGCAGATAGAGGAACCAGTATTCGGAAACCAGGATTGTAAACTAGCAGGTAGGAACCAGTATTCGGAAACCAGAATTTTAAACAAGCAGATATGAACCAGTATTCGGGAACCAGGATTGTAAACTAGCAGATAGGAACCACAACCAGTATTCGGAAACCAGTGTTGTAAACTATAGCAGATAGGAACCACAAACAGTATTCAGAAAACAGGATAGTAAACTAGCAGATAGGAACCACAACCAGTATTCAGAAAACAGGATAATAAACTAACAGATAGGAACCACAACCAGTATTCGGAAACCATTGTTGCAAACTTTAGCAGATAGGAACCACAACCAGTATTCAGAAAACAGGATAGTAAACTAGCAGATAGGAACCACAACCAGTATTCGGAAAACAGGACTGTAAACTAGCAGATAGGAACCACAACCAGTATTCGGAAAACAGGACTGTAAACTAGCAGATAGGAACAACCAGTGTTCGGAAACCAGTGTTGTAAACTATGATAGGAACCACAACCAGTATTCAGAAAACAGGATAGTAAACTAGCAGATAGGAACCACAACCAGTATTCGGAAAACAGGACTGTAATTTAGTAGATTGGAATCACAACCAGTATTCGGAAACCAGAACTGTAAACTAGCAGATAGTATTCTAAAGAAAAAAAACAAGATAATGAAACTGTGCATGATATGTTTTGTAAGATGAATCCCTCTTGCAGACTAAATTGTTTTGCAAAAAATATGTTTTGTTGTTCAGAATTTTTATTTAGTATAAAGTACAGCTGTTTTAGATTAAATGCAAAGCAAAAACGAAATAAAAAAATATTTGTTATAATTTTAATTAAATTTTTGTTCTACACTATCACAAACAATTTCATGAATTTACCATGTTAATTTTAGATATTGCAAAACTTAGAAAGAAAAAATATTTTTTACGATATCATTTTCGGATTTTTGTACGATATCATTATCGGGTTCACTTCAACGAACTGTATTTTGTACGATATCATTATCGGGTTCACTTCAACGAACTGTATTTTGTACGATATTATTATCGGGTTCGCTTCAACGAACTGTATTTTGTACGATATCATTATCGGGTTCGCTTCAACGAACTGTATTTTGTACGATATCATTTTCGGGTTCACTTCAACGAACTGTATTTTGTACGATATCATTTTCGGGTTCACTTCAACGAACTGTATTTTTGCCCCAAAATATTATTTATAAAATGCAGGCAAAATGCACAATGTATGAGATTCGAGAGGAAATTGCCTTGTATGAAGGAATCATGATATAAAATATGAAAAAATAGTACAAAAGAAACTTGTTACATTTTATGCATCAGTTGAACCCCTTGTGTAGCATCAGGAAGGAGGGAAGAGGGGTTTAAACAATCTTTTCTATATATTTTTAACTTGTAAAGCTTTAGAACATAAAAATTGTCGTACATTCAGGGAGATCCAGAAAACTGCAGAATATGATAACGAATTTCTAACAATTTTTGTGTATTTGAAATTTATTATAAAGTTTAATTAATAGCTTAAAAATCATCCAAATGGGTGAAATGGATCAGTTTACAAGGCACAATGGCTAAAACTTGAGTCTAAAAGTCGTCTTTCTACTCCCCAGTGTTATGGGTCTCTCTATGTACTTCCTTGACTCGGCTGCAACATTAATCAAAATCCGCAAATCCATTTAATGGAGCAAACTACAGATATTTCAAGCAAGGATATTTCCCTCATTTTTGTTTTGGAAAAAGATTGAAGGGGTACCGTTGTGAATCGATCATGAAACTGTTTACTCAATTGAAAATTACGTTCAAACAAAAAGCTTCCAAGGGGGGAGGGGTAATAAATGTAAAACCTTGATTTTCTAACTTTAAACAGTATATTGAACTAATTGTACTTGAAGCCTAATTAATATGTAGGGAAAGGTTTATACATGCAATTCAATGTGGTTATACCAAAAAAATTGCTTGACAGTTGTTGATCTTAGATATTTAATGATGATTTGTAAGATCCTTTTTCCAATGATAGCAATAACGATCTTTTTCCAATGATAGCAATAACGATCTTTTTCCAATGATAGCAATAACGATCTTTTTCCAATGATAGCAATAACGATCTTTTTAAAATACTATAGTGATCTACTGAAAATTCATCTTCAAAACATATCCATGGAGGATTTACTGATTGGAGATTTAACAAAAAATGCCCATGCAGACCTTCTAAAAATGCACGTGGGTGATCTTTTATAGATACTAATTGATGATTTTCAAAAATACTTAGAATATCATATTGGCGATCTTCGAAAAATACCCATGAAGTAAATACGAGGGCGATCCTTAGGGATACCGAATGACTACCTTCATTAAATGCGCATGTATGATCGATAAAAGATACCGATCGACGATCTCCTGATTGAACCATGAGTGATTTACTTCTCAAATAATCTTGAGAAGTGTGAATTCAGGTTGTTAAAGGGAAAACAGTGTTTGATTATGTAGAAAATAAAAAAAAAATAGTAAGAAAAGGTAATAAACTTGTTTAAAAAGTAAATACAACACAATACAAGATCATTTAAAAAAGAAATCTATCTTATTAAATGGCGTCACTGCCTTAAAAAGCATTTTCTTTAAAGATAAACATTTGCCGAATATTTAAAATGAAATATATTTTAAATATTTTTAAGATCGATCAAGAATTTTTAAGACACCCCGTAATAATTAATATATAAATATATGCCTAAATGTAAAGAGAGAGGGGGGATATTACAGTTTAGTTGGAGCGTGATGGAAGGGCTTATTTATTATTTAAAAGTTTTGGGAAAATTCAACTTTTCCTACCTAGAGACCTCATACTTTCAAGTCAAGCTGTTCCTTTCTAGACCTCATACTTTCAAGTCAAGCTTTTCCTTTCTAGACCACATACTTTCAAGTCAAGCTTTTCCTTTCTAGACCTCATACTTTCAAGTCAAGCT